TACTTATATAGTTCTTTCTATAGTATCAAAAAAAGACGAGTCGTCATTTTAACTTTCCACCGCGAATAATTCTGTAGGCCCCATACATGGGTTTGTAGGATCAAATTTGGACGGTGAGCCGTGAACACTATAACTGTTTAGTTTAGCTAAAATAGATTCTCGTGTCTGAGACCAAGGTACGATTGGCTAAACGGATGGCGAACGCATGGAAAATAAAGGGAAAGAAAAGTAGCCTATATACGTTTGAAAAAAAAAATGATACATGTTTTCAGAGTATTCAAGCCCAAACGATTCATTGCTCGAAGGTGCTAGAAATCTTTTCAAGAATTTCATTATTCAAAATGACCTACCCATAAACAAGTCAGGTTTATTTGAACTACAATGTAAATGGAGTGTAAAATCCTGGTACGGAAATTAAAGATGTGGTAAGATTACATGGCAGTACTAAAATAGTAGGTATATACTATATAATACAATAGATACTTTACTATATAATACTATGTAATCAACCAATGACCAAAATGAAAGTCAATGGTCTTATAGAAAGTCATAAGGTTTAGTTTAATGAAGCGCTGTAACATTTTACAACCAGAAAACTATACTTACTATTGTTCTTATTGTAAACTAACATCAAAGCAAGTCAACGTAAGTAAAAGTGTGAAAGACACGCGTTATATCGAACCGTTGGTATCAAGTCACCTTTGTTACTTGGTTCATTACTCAAACACAATCAACAACAAAAAAAAAGTGACCCCTGAATAAATTTGATCAAAGATTACCCAATTTAAATCCAATATTTAAGTGTCGTGTTACTACTGATGGGGCCTGCAGAAAACGAGATTTCTGTAAGTAAAGTATGCATGCATTAAAATTGTGTCAGTATCAGCCTTCCGTATTTAAGAACAATTCTGTAAAGTAGTGATAACCAGATACAATTCAATAATATCAAGTATTAGTATTAGTCATCAGACCTATGCAGATGCGCAGAAGAACAATTGGTATTTAAATTCGTCATATTTAATCTGATCTGCTACCCTGTTACATGAATTATGGCAGTACTTAGACTCCATACATAAAGGCCTATATAATTTCAAATATATTGACTCTTTGATATGTTTTCAATATCAAACGGCTTCAAAACGTCAACATGGCTAAATAGCAGCACATATTTCTTGCAACAGTAATAAAGGGAAATATGTTTCGTCCGATAGAACACATTTTTATCAAAAGGAGAGATTTTCCAATTTAAGAGGAGTGATAAATGACATTGGTCGCTTCATTTGACTTTAAACAGATTGGTGACGTCATTAATGTGAATTTGATAAGGTGGATGTCTCAAATTAACACTACAACGTTCCAAATTTAACATTTCATTAATCAAAACAAGGAGCAGACGATCCCTTACTGACCCCGAATTAAATACATGTAAATTAATCACTTCAACATTTGTCATGTAATATCTTTAAATAAACCGCGCTTTTTCATCTTCTTAACCAAACCTCGCCACATGTCGTCTGCGATTGGAGTGACGTCAGATGGTTGGGGGCCTTATTGTTGGTTTAGAAACTTACACCAAAACTTTTGGTATTAATTTCAATGTAATATCTTCAGTATCAAAATTCATGTAATGTAGAAAATTTTCCTTTACCGACATATGTTTCTTTTAATCTTAATAAGACTTCCTGCTTGACAGAAATTGGAAACAGAATATTTCTCTTCACAGGATTTTCCTTAAAGGGATTGTGAAAAGGTTTTCTAAAAATTGTATGTGTATCGAGGACACTGATAGCATCAATTTGCACCATGCCACAGATGTCTGTGATTTCTGCAATTCCACTAAAACTAAGCGTTTTATGATGGCATTATTGCAAAGGACCTTATTTGATATAAGCAGATTTTGATTTTACTCTTTTTGTGGAATTGAAGGCACCACAGACGCCTGATTGAAAATTAGATTGCTGTAAATTGATGCTACAAGTGTCCCCGATAGACATACAATATTTAGAAAACCTTTTTACAATCCCTTTAAGATTTCGTCACTTTTAGATATACATATGTTGTAGGCTAATACGATATCTGCACATTTTGATATTTGAAATTTCATCTCGAAAATATTAAAAACTATATTCTGTAATATGAGCAAGAATCTGTGCTTAGAATTATCTTATAATGCGACAAAAAAATCATTTTGGGATGTCGGCTTTAAGAGATCGCCATTTTATGTAAAATTTACAAATTTAATGAAATGGAATAAGTCCATATTGATGATCGTATTTTATGTAATAAACTTTCCACGTCAGATATTTTATATACACATCATCATGCTCGATCAGTTTTTATACTTTATATACATGTCAAGAACAAGCTAAATTACAATACAATCATTGTACCAAACTATGTTTATAGCAGACATGATTGGGCATTTTTCTGCCTCTGTGCCTTTTGACATATATGTACAATATTGTATAACTCTTTTCCAGATCACCAGATCATTGCTCGATTTTCATGAAAGGAGACGTATAAGGTCTACTTATTGCAAAGACAAAACTATGTGAAAACTTTGCCTCGTAAATCTTTGAAAGCTCAGGGATAATGATTTGAAACATTGACCCAATAGTTTTGTTCGCACTTCATGAGCTTTGAGTGCTTTTTTCAGAATACTATTCTCTTTATTTAACGCAATGGACTAATTCTTGATACCATGGTCGATAGTCGTTTGCCTACCAGAGACGGCGCGAGCCTTCCTTGACTGGCGGTAGAAAAAAGGGGTAGACTAACTGAATATGTTGTGGGGTGAAGAGGGGGGGGGAGACAAATGTCGAGGCTGAATTAAAAATGCGGCAACTACGCCAGCCTCTAAAAGAGCGTCTCAGGAGCTTCTCCAAAGAAAATTTTAGAAAATTGAATTGATTTTGTGCATTCTGATACATATTTTGTGTCAAAAAACGTGTAATATAAAGTGGGGGTACAATTGTGGTGCAATCATATTTCTAGAGGGGTAAATACCACCTTATACCCTGACTGGCTCCGCCAATAGTTCCTACCAAAAGATCAACAGACGACAGTTGAAATCGCGCGTTAAATATGTAACCTTACAATACAAAAAGACAATGTTTGCACCCAGCAGTGTTTGATGTTTTATGTGAGATAAACATGTCTCTCTGGGCTTCATTAAGTTTTAGTTGTAATTAATGATGACCAGAGTGACCGCTGGATTGACCATCATTGTTTCACGATTCATTAAGCATCGTACTGCCAAAAACTGTCATCTTTTATCTATCCCTGATTCATCATCCCTGCAAGTGAGAACTGGTTTTTTGAAATCGCACTCAATACAAAATAATTTAGAAAAGTGCAGAACTTCTGAAATATCGTTAAATAAGCCTCTGTATTATAAACAATTGTATTTGTGAAAATCTGAAATATAGAGAGGTGTTTTCCAAGTATTTATATAGCCGAAGTCGTTGCAATTAGGAGCGTCGATACCTCGCGCGTACTAAAGGCTGATGTACGTTGAAATCATACCGATTGTAAGAAAAATGTCCCTGGTTCCCCTATAGTATAGTCCGGGATGGCTAACGCAAGAAGGTATACAAGACATAAGGCGCAAACCTCCAAGTTTCATGGGTATACAACAAGAAATAAGACGCAACAAGACATAAGACGCAAACCTCCAAGTTTCATGGGTATTCAACAAGACATAAGACGCAAATCTCCAAGTTTCATGGGTATACAACAAGAAATAAGACGCAAACCTCCAAGTTTGAAGTTGTATAGGCCAACACTTTTTATGAAATGGCGTGAGTTGAAAATTACATAACCACTATCATGGCATCCAACTTGTACAACTACAACCGGAAACTTACTGTATTGTCCTATATGACACATCCTCGGCAATATGGTCAACATTGAAATATATCTATTGACACCTTGTTCTGTGGGCAGGGTGACTTTATTTATATATTATATAATACTAGGACAAAATACAATAGACTTGACCATTATATAGTACTATACTATATAGCCCTTCATAAAACTCTCTGTTAAACACAATATAAGTATATAAAGTCAAATACTGGCTCTAGTGGTCACTGTCTCTTTCTTGCAACACCTGTCCACTACTGATTGTCCACTAGTGAATGACCACCACTGGACCTGGTGAAACAGGTGGACCTACTTCAAACTAGTTCTCAATTATTGCAAAGAAATTTAAAGCCTATTTCTGAAGCGATTAATTTTCTCTTTTCCTCCAACAGGAAACTCGGATACCAAACCCCTTATTAAATTAAACTAACTTGAAGTTAACGGCGTATGCTTTTTATTTCATAAAGAAATATCTCGTTTAAATGGCAATTCTTTGGAAGAGATCCTGAGCAAACCTATTGAATGCCTTATGCGTTATATACCTTGTGCATGTTTTCTTACTTTCTAAAATTCAATTTCAATAGCATGAAAAAAAATGATGTTCGTGTAACCTTATATTAGGTCATAGGTCATTAATAAAGAGAGATTTATAAATTAATGTCCTCAAGAAAAATAAACAGGTAATTTATTTGTAAATAAATACGATAATATTTGAAGTAATTGATGGGTTTGGATATTGACAGATTGGTTCGTCAATTGACTTGTTACTCTCCCACTGCTCTTCACCTGCTGTTTTCCTCTGATAATCATCTCTACCTCCAATTCCCAAATTGACAGCTTGTTATCTTCTAAACTCAATCGGTTGTTGGCAGCTTTAGACATATTATACAAGCTTTACCAAGCGCTCTCTCAACTTTCTGCCTTGATGTAAAAGGACACGATAATAGAGACTATGAATTCACTCGGGACATTTATATGACTTGATAATCGTTTAGCAGGTGTCCGTTCGCCAGCCAATGAAATTGAAGGCTACGTCATAGGGCATCCCTCATCTCCCAATTTCCGTATAGAACAAAATGGTTGAAAACGAAAATGTTTCGGAGGTTTCGAAAGATGTTTTGGCACCCCAAGAAGGTCCCAGAGAAAATTTGGTATCGACAGCTGTGAAATTTCTTCAAAATCCAAAAGTTCAAAACAGTCCACTAACTCAAAGACAGTTGTTCTTGGAGAAGAAAGGGTTAACGAAAGAAGAAATAGAACTGGCAATAGAGCGTTCAGGAGTTTCTACACAACAAAATGATTCTGTGCCTAATCAGACGTCCCAAATTCTTTCAAATTATCCCAGCCAGCAGATGCAACCGGGTACATACCTATGATAGTGTAGCTACGTGAACATATAAAGATTGAAACAAATTATCATGATTGAACTTTGATCTTCCCACCCATTATTTATAGGCCTGGGCTACAACAAACAAATACATTTAAAAGTATCTTGCATTTTTTAGCTGGATAACACCTATGTGCCAATCATATGACAAAAATACAGTACATTGAGCCTCATGCCTGCATAGATTAAATGAATTGAAACTATTAAGCTAGGCCTTAATATAAGAATGCAGATATAAAATGCTTAAACATCCTGAACGTTTGGATGATTATTGAAATGTTTTATTTCAGCCCAATATTATCCAGTACCCATGACCAGATGGGAAAGAGTGAGATCGTATACATCTACAGCATTAATACTAGCAGGGGTTGCTTACGCTGGTTATCACTTATATAAGACTTATATCAGACCTCTGTTATATCAGACCCAGGAAAATAATAAGAGATTGACAGACTTGGAAGCTAAAATACAGGTCAGTCTTTTATTTTTACTACTCTCAGTGGGAATTGGATTCTTGTTGAAAAAAAATTAACAGGAAGAGATATTATATACCATATATTTTTGTGTATATTGCGCATTTTTCGCCAATAGGCCTAGTAATTTTCTTTTTTTTTTTTAAATAGGTCAGAATTAGGTCCATTACGCCAATGAAGTGACATGCAAATTGTCCTGTCTAACATCAGCAATGGCTGATGAGGGTTATCACTTTTTCCTGTAAGCACAAAGGTTAAAGTTACAGCACCAATTCAACACCATTATGCTTCCCAGCGTACATCATTTTCTTCTTATGTCCTTCCAAGTTGTTTTAAAACAACAATGAACTTTTTTTTTTTATAGGAAGTTCAGTCAGAAACCAATGAGTCAATGAAACAGATACAAGAATCATTAAAATCTATACAGTTTGTTATCACACAGCAACAAATAGCTAACTCTAGTCAGACCACAGTTAAACAACATGATTTAAATACTATTAATGAAATTAAAACTGAGATCCAATCATTGAAAGGTCTACTATTAAACAGGTAGGCTTATTATCAGAGAATGTTTTTGTAGTAACATTAGTTTTCAAATTTCTGAAGGCGTTTTAACTCCATGGAGGCAAAGGTTTGCTGAACACTGGTATTTTCAGATCACATGACATACCACAGCCAGCTTACTTATTTTACTCACCTAAACTCACCTATATTTATTTGGATAAAAGTTGAAATTGACTCTTGGAAACACTGGCTGTGGAATCCGAATTGTTCTTTTCTTTGAGGAGGATTCAAGCTCACTACACTTAACGGCCAGACAATCCAACTCACTACTAACTATTGATCCAATGCTTTTTTTTAGACGCCAGTTTCCACCAGTGCCATCAACATCCCCAGTATTACCTTCCTGGCAACTAACACCCAGTTCGTCCAATACCTCATTATATAATGAAAATAAAAATACTAGTGATAAGAATAAAGATACAGAGGTACCTGTTGTGAATAATGATACCAATACAGAGCCAGTGTCTAAAGCTAGTGATAATGCGGAGACTGAACAATGTGATAAAATTTTAGTTTGTGATAATCAAAATACAGAGGTGCCTGAAGCTAAAGATGAGGAATCATTACAGAATGGCCTGTTACAGACTAGTGAAACTTAATTTTGTCATAATGTCGCCTTATGTATACTAATTGATATAATTAATTATGATTTGTTAATATGATTTGCGAATATAATTCATTTTGATTTGTTAATATGTTTATAAAATAAATTAATATCAGAAATAATTTTGTATATTTTCCACTAATATCCTCCGCCAGTACCTTTTGTTCAATAGTTTAGAGGAGATAAAATTGCTTAAATGACCAGTTATCCCTGATTTTCAGTAACTAGTTTTTTTTGTCAGATTTGAACTCTTCAGACTGATAAGTCATTTTTTACCTTCAAACTATCCTAAAATGATTATTTATAGATACACAATACAGTATCAAAGGAAGCAAATTTGAAAATGGGACAACATCGTAAAATGCTAATGAGAGCTCTCTAGAGTAACAATTATATAAATATTTTGAAAATATAGTCACTAGGTATCATTAGTATTGACTTGACATGTTAGTATTAACTATTGTACTAATTATACTATTTAACATAATTTATTCAATGTTACTATAAATAGATGGCAGGTGTTACTTATCTGGGGAAATCATCCATTCAAATGTCATACCCCCATACTAGACTCTTATATAATAATAAATAATAAATACTTATAGTGACTATTTTATTTTACTTACTACAACTTTACATGACAAATATTTTAAATAGGTAATTAGTATATATTATATTATTAGTTCTATGACACTATTTCACTATTGAGTCAATGTCATGTGTGAAGTAAAAGTAGGGTTGGCAGATTTTGACAGAACGATCTTTGAAAGAAAAGTTTGAATATAATAAATTATTCTACACAAAATAATATGTGGTGTTAAATGGCATGCTAACATAAAACTTTAGCACAATTTCAATGAATATCTTTGTGACTTTCTTTTACTTAATAATCATTTTTGAAAAAACAGTATAATATAAATATATAAATTGAAAGGGATAGATCTTCACATTGGTAAAAACCACCAAAATTTATTATTGGCTGCAGGCTGAAAATACTAAATATAAAATAGGGTACATAGATAGGATTTACTAAAATTCTAAAACGTATGATCAAAAGACACACTTGATGATATTTTTGTTTCATAATGCACAGCTAGAATGAAGAAGAAGAAATTTCATTAGGGAATTTGTAGGAAAATCTGATCAAGAACCAGTTGAACTGATTTGTTGTTTACCCGAACCCTTAAAAATTTCTGATAAAGGTTTTTTTTTTGTGCATAGAGCTTTTTAAGGACGTAGATTTTTGTCTTTTTAACAATAGGCAACAACCAATCATTTTAACAACAATACATTTCTATGTATAAATTTACTATTTACTATACTGATTAACCCTTTCTAAACCAATTCTCAAGCCTCTAATTAATTCATTTATCAAGCATTCCAAGTGGTGGATAAAGAGTTAAAACAAAGATGCTATAACTGGGGTAAAATGGGTTAATTCTTCCAAGTGTCTCCTTGTTGCAGACTACTGGCTTAATAACATAATAAATAACAGTCATTTAACCCTTTACCAACAATAAAATACAGAATCAAGTATTTATATTAGGTCCTATCACAGCAATTAATTATATTGTGAAAGTGTCCATTAAAACAATGGAAAGTGTCTAGTAATTGAATAGGATTCACACTTAAACTGTGTTTTCTATTTGTCTACAATAGGAGACTTGTTATAGACATTGTCTTAAGATGAAAATAACATAAAAAGCTTCTAGTAAGTAAAAACAATGCAACCTATAGTAAACAAAAGGGTACCAGTTTTCAACAATTGGTACTTTGTCTAGTCACTGTTGTTGTTTATTATTTATTGTACTAAGACTTTATTGTTTTAAAGGTACTAATTACTAACACAAATAAATAGTGAAGATGAATTATGTCATTCAATGCCCAATTTCAAGTTAGTACTATCATTGGTGAATGAACAATAGGTCCATTAACATTCTACTAATTAAATAGAACATAGTTCCTTGTCTTTTTTCAAATACTGTCAAATCTACCATAAAACTGAATTTATCAACACAGTTAAGTCTCCATTGGTAACACGTGGGTTACAAGGAAATCCCCCCGCCCCCCAAAAAAAAGAAACTATTTGTGATTTTTCAAATTTACATGTAGAAAATAAGCCATTCTAGTATATCAGGGCAACATTTGAATTATGAAAATCTTTCTCAATTGAGACAGGTTCAGGGCAACATTTGAATTATAAAAATCTTTCTCAATTGAGACAGGTTTGAAAATAAAAGTTTTACAATGTAAATTTGTAAAATTTGTCTTATGAGCTTCCCATTTGTCTATGAAATTGATAGTTTTAAGATCCAGAAAGATTTACTATGTATACTAAAACTATAAAATCTACTTTTCATATGGGAAGAGGTGGACATTATTTGAATGACCCTTGTGATGTCACTACTGGCCACTACAACATGGACTATAGGATAATATATTTTATGATGTAATAAGCCAATAACCCCCTGCCTGTTTAGTGTAGATGTCAACGCCCCAGTGAGACACAAGACTTTGATCCAATATAATTTATATATCTATATAACGTCTTGGTGACATTTCTATATGCCTTTCCTGAGAATTGGTATCGTGTGAAAATAATATCTTGGGACAAATCTAAAAAATGTCAAGAGCTACGTAAACTTTTTACCGTGAAAGTTCCGCTTGCTTTCTGTTTTTCAGAAATTGCCAAATCTAGGCTATGTATGAAAAGGATATGTCACGAACATTGCAATTCTGCAGACGTCTGACATTTGAAAAAAAAACTTGAACACGAAATCATTGATGACCTTGACATTGGGGTATTTGGACTCTTTAGACTGGAAAATACAAAAAGTGCACTTGAGTCGTTAGTCGAATGTACTTTTGAATAGCCCAACGCTTTAGGGTAGGATTATTCTTAAATCTCTTCGTGAAAACATTGACGTTGAAAATGACCGATGTATCATTTATAAATGGCGCCCTTGGCAAGAAAGGTGACCTTGACCAAGGTCAATGTATTGCTATGGAAGAGCATTGTATTACTTAAAATATTAAACTTGTGGCATCTTTAACCAAATTTTTGGTTTATAAATGATTCTAGAATTTAAGATATGGAATATCGATCGATCTTCATGAACATTTAAGGCTTTCCCTTGAGTTTTGTTGATGGTTGATTAAGGTCCAATTGAAATTTTCGCTCTTTTTCTCTATACATTAGGCCTACTGTGTGGATTCTTTTATTCTGTGGTTCCTTTGTTTTAATTTGACCGTTGGGAGAAATTATAGCAGTTCATTAAGACAACATCACTAGTAGTAATTACACTATTAAATGTTCGTTCTGCTCCTTTAAAATCACACAATATCTATGTTACGTCACAGTCATTTCTTTACATACAGTCAGGTATTACATCATGTTGGTGTAACTTGTTACTAAAGTCAACCTATTGAGACGAGACTTGTCTTTGTTCTTATGTATCTATCATTCAATTCTCTTTAGTTCTTCATGCTTCATATACTTATGAAGTAGCCTATAAGAGACGCTGTGATAACTTGTTCGACAAATTTTCCCGAGATATACCGCCACGTTAAGAAATTAACAAATTTAAATGATCCAACATCAAAGCATAAATATATCTAATGTGTATGGAAATGCCGTATATTCAAAGTAATTCTTCATCGAGTAAAGAAAGGGAAACCTTTAAAGCTTTTGAGGCCAAAGATTTCATGAAACTGATCTCCACTATACAAATATTGTTGCCAGTTTCGCTAGTAAGCCAGGGTGTAATCACTCCTCTGGAACATCTGATGCCAATTTGCGACTGTTAAATCAACTCTACACCCTTTTGGAAGACCCCACATAGCTAATAGCGTTTGTTTAGGATATTACCGATTTTGATCATTTTTGTTTAAAATTGTCCTCTCATAGAAGACGTCCATATTTGACTGAAGCTCAAATTTTGAGATCACAACAACGTCCCAAGAGACTGCAACAAACTGTTGCCATGTTAATCTGGGATTTGTCTGTCTGATGATTAAGGGATTATGATATTAGATGTTATTATCTATTATATTCTAATCCTGATATGACCTGGCATGTCAATCTGGCTGTCATTTTTTATAAAGATTATTAATGATACGTTTATGGCATCTGAATCCTATTTAAGAACTTGGTAAAATTTGAATACAGAAAGGTATTACTGCATTCGTTATGGATATCACCCTAATCCGTATCCAAATTTTGGATAGAACGCAATGGACATTACCTCTATAAGTTTGATGTATACGTGTAGTAGGAATTCAGAACCAGCAGCACCAGACCGTTTTAGATGACTTAACATCTAATAACACACCAATTAGCATACAAAATTGCCCGAGGACGGTTAGGGGAAACACTTCGAAACGTTGCATAAAACATTGTTGTTCCTTAAAGCTGTGTTTATAAATAAAAATTTTTGTTGCATCAGGACAAATTTGAGTCCCTCCGATCTGCATCACAGACAGGACCAAATAAGATTTGCAATCCAAAAGAATTTCAGAGTACACTGATTGCCACAAGAATTTTTGTATATCCAGACTGGATATTACAGCCCCTCCAACCCAACCGACCTTCATCACTTAGCCCTATAAGTTTTGCAATTCAAACGATTTGTTCTTGAAATTCACATAGGTCTCTTAATAGTCCTTAATAAATTTGTTCATTCCTTGAAATCTCATTAGAATGTCGTAAATTTTAATGTGGAGACTAATAATGAACATCAAACTTTCAATTCGCGGTAATTAACATTGTATCTGAACAAATTAGCGCGTAATGGATACATTTAGACCTTTATTGTGCATTTCTGAACACAGACAACCAAACATTGTTGTGAAGACGTTTCCACGTCATTAATAATAAATACTAACAACCCTTGTTTCATAACACACAATGTTCTTTGTTCATCAACTCATTCGTTGAATAATTCATTAAACAGCGGCAAATAAACTCTTTCCTTTCATCTTTTCACATCTTCAAATTTGTTTCTCTCTATTTAAGTTCGTTTATTTCGACACCTTTGACCTCCACTTTGACCTCTATTTAGTTGCTTTGGGAGGTAATTTCAAACCATCTGTAAGCCTGCTATGTTTTCTCTTACTGATAACGTGAGGCCGCCCTGATGATTTGGTGAAGTTTTACCAATGACTTAAGTTTTTTTTAAATAATGTAATGAATACACGGAGTTTAACGTCCTACTTTTCTGCACCATGTGGTCTAATGAAGACGGGCAACGCCATGCAGGGTGCAATGAGGGCTATTTCGCCAGGACAGCGGCATTAGTCTGCTCTTTTTCGATTTCCAACTGTCGAGGGATCTTTAACATGCACAGCCTGTAGCACACGGGGCCTCGGTTTATTGTCCCATCCGAACGACTAGACGCTTTTTCCATGTCAGCCCCTCTTACCTGCATCACTGACAGGGGGAAAAGGATTCAGAAGAAGAAGCGTATATTATGTATCTTATTATTTATTATATGTGTAAATCTTGATGTATTTTTATATTAAAATAATCTGTAGGGCCCACAGCAGTGTACAAATTAAAAATGTATTTGATAAAAAGCAGAATTGTAGAATCTGAATACAACTTTTTACAGATCGGTGAAATCCCTAATATATCATATAATTATGATGTTTTTTGGGGTGTCTGTGTGTATTCTACAGCTGATAAGCGTCAAAGGCCCGAACAAGCATGGGACCATTATCGTATATGATTAAGTTAAACATGCGGGAAAATCGACTTCAAAATTTAAATTTTTAAAGCAGACGCGTATCTGGTCAACTCAGAAGAACAAAAAGCCCATGGACTAAGACATAACGCAACTGATCCGTATCTTATAAATCCGAGATGTTTATTTTAGTTTGTCTAAAGGGAATTGAAATTCTCGGCAGGTATTCGGCTTATTGGATTTTGATGACCTTAAATATAAGGATTACCCAAATATAAATATTAGACAGATGGGGGTCAAAAGGTTAATTCTAGAAGAAGAGTTAGGAGAAGAGATTATAAAGTGAGATAAATAATGAGAAAATTATGATGACATTGAATTTGTCGGCTAACTTCAAAAAAACTTAATTACATGAATAACTCTTCAAGATATTTGAGTTAGAGGCAGTTATACTCGAGATGCCCATCGCACTCGATTTGAAAGATTTTGTACTGTATGGTTTGAATCATGGTTTGAATCAATTTCCATAAATTTACAGATACCTATTTTAAGATTCAAGCTCGCTATAGGCTTGACAGAATGGTATGGCAAGAATTGGCAATTTCTCCCGCCGGCGTTAAGCTAGATTTCAGTTTGCCAAGTGGAAACCCCCGAAAGATAGCTTAAAGCCGGCTTTTTCCCTCAGTGGAAACAGAGTTATCACCACCAAGATTTCGATCTTAAATTCATTTGAGCCCCATATATGTTAATCTGCTTAATTAAACCCATTTCGATCTGAATGATATAAATATGACTGCTTTGATCTGAAACGTATGGCTTGTGGTGCGTTTTTGAGCAATTTTCGCATTGACTTAGGAGGACTAGAATGTGAACCTGCCAAAATTTGCTGCATAGTAAATACAGACTACAAATAACTCCAAATTATCTCCCCTATATTCACTGTATAGACAACTGACTACAATTATATTAGAATTATACCCCTTTGACCAAGTGATTCAACTATATAAAAATACATTATTTTAATAACCTTAATATTATGTAATATTTATTGATAATGTCGCAGAAAATATAAAAAAAAGTGATAAAAATCTACATTATATTTATATAATTATAGAATCTTATTCTAAATGCCCGTACAAGTGCTAAGTGTAATAACAAGTTTTTATCATATAAATATATATAATATTATTATGCATATAATAAACAATGTCATATAGTATTTTATGTTTGAAATTTGAGGTGCCCGACAATTGTTCGTTTTGTTAATAAGATGCATGACAGGAAATTACCTTGTCCTTCAAAGATCTTCATCATGGCAGAGTCTTCAATGGAATTTTCAAACACATATCATAATGCTCTATGGTATTTATCGCTTTTCAAAACGGACGTGTATGGGTTTTTCAGGTCGCAAGAAGATTTCGGCGTTGGCAATTTTCACATTTGGTGTCTGAAAAAAATAAGTCATTAGACCTCAGGAATACTCTAGAAGCATTTAGTTTGCGTTTGCCCTCTGTAGCTACGGACCTGGTGTAGAACAGGACCAAAGGAGAAGGCTGAGGTCAATCTCAGTTTACACATTTAACTAAATATAACCTACTCGTATTGACTTACCTCGGTTTCTGGAGTACAACATATCTTATAGCTTCTCAGAATACAAACCAGAACTAATTTGAGTTCTAACAGAGCTAAACGTTGGCCGATACAATTTCTAGGTCCCATTCCAAAAGGCATATGGGCATATGGATGCATGGTTTCTTTCTTCTCTGGTGAAAACCTGAAATGAAAAACAGACCATTGAATAACCTACCATACTTTTGTTAAAGGGACATTCCACTTTTGTTGTAAGTCAAAAATTTTTTTTGCTCAAATTTGCGAGAACTATATACCAAAATCTGGAGAAATGTGCCCTTTAACGTATCTGAAAGTTTAACTAAAAAAATTCGGTCGTTAATTTTGAAACGTCAAAAATACTTTAAAACATTACGTAAGGTTGTTAAACTTTTTGGAAGCGGCTAGAAAACTAGTGTACGGATAAATATAGATACAAAAAGCATAGGCTACTTAAGAAATATTTTCAGGTATAATTTACCTTTTTGATGAAAAAAACGTTTTACAAAAATCGGAATACCCCTTTAATCAAAATTTAACTACATGTAAATACTCAACATTGTTATAGAAAAGAACATTTGAAGTAGGATACATTTCTGAATATTTTTATTAACACTCTTAGTTTCTGACCGAATTCTCAACGCATTCCATGAGTACACCTTTTATTTCCCTTTTGATTCAGACATATGCTCATAGGGACACTATAATCATAATAACCCCTTACCCGAAATGATATCAAATGATTTGAGTTTTACCCCTACCCAAGTCCTGTCTTCCCTTAAAAGTTATTAAGTCAGGAATTTACCTTTCCGGATCAAACTCGTCAGGATTCTCCCAAAAATCAGGATCCCTCTGTATAGCAAATACAGGAAAAGATATCTCCGTTCCTTTAGCAATAAATGTACCATTGATATCTATATCTTCAGCACAATATCGAGTAGTTCTGAAAGAGTTTTAGTCGTTCCGAGAGCAAAAGGGACAGTGTTTTTTTTAAAGTTGCTTTGGAAAGTTAATTACTGAGATAAAAGAAAACTATACACTATACAAGGATAACTTAGCTTATCTGAAAAATTTGAATTTAAGTATCTTGCTGTTAATTTTTATGAGTTAAAGGGGCAGTCTAGTTTTGGAAGTAGGTTGGAATTAAAGTAACCTGTCGTTCATTTTTAGAACGACAAAACTATTTAAAAGGTTTACGTAAACAGCAATATAGTTTCGATTCTACAAGAAAAGTAGACTGTAAATCAACATTACCTTATCAATGGTGGAAACAGTCTAAGAGTTTCATCAATAACCTGTTGTAAATACTTCAATTTGGTAATATTTTCATGATCAGGTTCTTCATCCTGTTAATAAAAATTGAAAGGGGGAAATAACTCAACAATATACACACATCTGTTGCCAATGTCCACAAACATCCCCTTTCTGCTTGATGGAATAAGTCTGCATGCCCGATATCGTCATAGTGTTAAAAAGATATAGGCCTAAACATCTTGTTACACTTTTTTTTAACATTTTGTAACACCGAAGTCGACATTTTGTTAAAATTATATGTACATTTTGTTACACTGATGTCTACATATTTTTTTATACCGATGTCGACATTTTGTAACACTGATATCTACATTTTGCAATACCGATGTCGACATTTTGTAACACTGATATCTACATTTTGTTATTTTGCTATCAACATTTTGTAATACTGATATCTACATTTTGTTACACTGCTATCTACATTTTGTTATACCGATGTCGACATTTTGTATCACTGATATCTACATTTTGATATTTTGCTCTCTACATTTTGTAACACTGATATCTACATTTTGTTACACTGATATCAAAATTTTGTTACACTGATATCTACATTTTGTTATGTTGCTATCTACATTTTGTTACACTGATGTCGACATTTTGTTAAACTGATATCAAAATTTTGTTACACTGATATCTACATTTTGTTATGTTGCTATCTACATTTTGTTACACTGATGTCGACATTTTATTAAACTGATATCTACATTTCTTTGACGTCTCTATCGTAAAGGTTCTGATAAAATCAGCAGCTTGAAAACTGAAAACACATCTTAAATCAACACAAAGTAGAAAATTTCACAAAAATGGTTACCTTTCCAAGTTTCTGGTTGATTTCGTGAAGAACTTTATCCTGAATGTCTGGGTGGGTGGCTAAACAATATGATACAAATGACAAAGTGGTTGATGTTGTATCATAAGCAGCCAACATAAAAATAAGAAGGTTTCCAATCAGATCATGTTGATTGAAAACTGAAACAGAAAAGCCCTTTTATGATCTACATATACAGTCTAGAACTGGTTGTGCCGATTTCGACATGCTTTCTTGGTCGGCAATGAGAGGGTCACAACAGTGGCTAAACTACCAACACGGGCCCCAAAGATAAGAATGCAGGAGAGCGTATGTTAAAACAGATATTCCCAACCCACTTTAGTCCATTGCCACCCCCACTTATCTGGTTGAGCCACTGGGACAAAATGCAACACAACACAGCACAAAATGTTCCGAAATTCAAAATGTAAGTGCAGTTAGGCAGGAACAAATAATCCTACAGAAAAATCCTGAAAAATTATCACCCAGGTTTTTTTCGCTTGATTTATACCCAACTTCCGGTTATGCCAAAATATTGCAACAAAATCAATTATGACAATCATTTCGCCAACACCCATTACCTCTGCCTTCCTGTTGTTTTTCAGAATCTTCTTTGGCCTTCATTGCCAGAGATACGAAGTCTGTTCTGTCCTGTAATATATATTTCATAAGTGAAAGTAGGAGGCCCTCTACAATTCAAGATTTCTTCTTTCAGTGGGTTGGTCACATTTTCGCCATTATTATGGTGTCGATTTGGGTCTTTAACTTTTCAAAAATTTCATAATTCCTTCAACTATATAGTTGGCCTATCACCTCTTACCATTATGTGTTGGAAACACTTCGAAACGTTGCATAAAACTTTAACCAGTGATTGTTGTTCCATAAAACTGTGTCTATATATCGTACTTTGTCTTGTTTAAACCTGTATTGCGCTATGGCATTCCACGCCCATATCAATAATTTGAAGCCTATGTAAACTTACAGATGGATTATTCTGTCTCTCAGCAATAACTTTTTCTATTGTGTCGATCATAAATTTTTTGGGTCTCCTTTTGATAAAACCAACACCAAAGAAGTCCATAATGGATACCGTAAAAGGTAACAAGACTGAAAATCAAAAGTAAACAGTTATCACCACACAGAGCACATGTATAAGACAAAAATGTAAAAATCGGTTAAAGAGGGAAATACCCGTCGACATTTCCGTAAGTGGAAATAATATTGCATAAGAATTAATACTCCTCTATATATGCAGAAGCATAGCTTTAACAATGCTAAATAACGTGGTTCAAACACGATTCAGAGATTAACATGCGACTGTTACAATTATATAATATCGTACTTACTGCCGATTAAAAGGTATACTACCTCTTGACCAAAAATTGTGATTTTTAAACAAAACTGGTGTCAAAACTATATGACAGAATCCCTCTATAATCCAATAAATTCATAAAACTAATCAACAATTAATTAAAATAAGTAATTTTGAAACACGAATAGAAGCTTAATAATTTGTTTCCATTAAGGAATTAACATCCGACAAGACCATTAATCATACTTACTGCAAATCAGAATAAAGGGATCTCCAAAGTTAAATTGTGCTGCTTCTTTTGCAGCTAGGATTAATGGGTTATCTGGGTTACCTTGAGAATCAATATCTATTCCGAAAGCTGTGGTACAAATCACATCCAATGTAAAACCGTTAAACATCCTAAAACATCAAAATTGGATCTGAATCATGTACGTATATCGTAATTACATATTTAGGGGTGTTTATCCTGTTATGATAGGCTTCCATTAGGGCGTTCACCCAGTATTTCTTGTTATCGGGGGACAAGCTCTATAGGAATCCTTGTACGTCTTTTGGAACTCCTAATGCATACGTCCATGATTCTGTTGCTGATTCAATGACGATCATCTAATCGGCTAAGATAAGGAGGATGTCGTAATACCTACGTTTTAACATCTACCGCTTTCCCACTTTCTGCATTTTTTTCGAGATGCTTCAAACAGTTCTTTATGCACATTTTCATCAGGGGTACCATCTGAGAGAAATATAACAAACAAACATACACAAATAAGATATTTAAAAGAATACTACCTCTTAGAATGGGCATAAAAGTCTCAAACTTGGTCAACAAGTGTATTCACTGGTTGGACTTACCAGGGGCCATGACTAAATTGACATCAGAATTGGATGGAAGTCTGTTCACTTTTTCTCATTATTCCAGACGACTTAGTTGGGTAAGCCTCCGGATAATCTGAAAAAGGTTCGGATAAGTACCAGCTGATGGACAGAGTCCTCCAGAAACTGAATTGTTAACATCGTTATTCTTGTTAATGGTTGTTTTTTTCCGTATTATAATGTATGATCACAATATTACCAAAAGACCTTACTCTTTAACCGAACAATAGACAATAACAACGAACAAGTTTGGGGCTAAAATACAACTATCTACATACCGCTCTCATTTTCCCCGATGTAAATGATGGAGAGAGAACTGAACGATTGTTCTTCCACCTCTCACCATTGGCCACAGTCAAAAAAGCTTCTTCATAAAGATCCTTTGGTATATTAATCTGAAAGGGTTGGTATTTTTGAAAATATATTACCAAAGACAATCAAGCAATTGTCTCTTGATTAATTTAGGAAAATCATATTAACTCTTAAATGGTAACACAAATTTAAGGAAATTTTAAGGAATTCCATGAGGTTAAGGGTTTTTGTGCTTTTAGTTTTCATAAATTTGAGCAAAAATAATTTCCACCTCCCAAAAAATCAGATTGCCCCTTTAATTAGCATAACTAACGAAGCTGTTCGCGTATTTTATACTTACTGGTCTGGCAGAAAAATTGTTGAAATGTTTAATGCAGATTTCTTTTACCAGATCGGGATCACCAACATTCAGCACTGGAGTACGACCATGATAGTAACTAATAATATAACAATATTAGAAATTAAAGGGATTGTACGGGGGTTTTCTAAATTGTTAATGTGTATTGAGCACACTGATATAATCAATTTACACCATTCCTATTTCAATCAGACGTCTTTGATTCGTGCAATTCCACATAAAATAAGTGTGTGATGACGTCACTAATCGAGGAAGGACGTATTCGATAAAGCAAACTTTGCGATTGCAGGATTCATTTTGTTTAATTTTCGGAGTATAGGTAGCGAAAAAAGATAGATATCATCCGCAGACTATAACCTACAAGGTAGGTCAGAACGTCCTTCGATCAACAATGCAAGATATTCTTCATATAACTACAGGACTGTCGTGGATCACCGCACACTAAATGTCGGTTGTTGTGGCGAAGATGAAGTGGCCCAGGAGGGAGATACGTGTCATATCATGGCCATATATACCGATTGAGTCCAAGAAGTTAGGAATTTATGACCTTAAAGCTTAATCACAATCAACAAATAACGTTAAAAAAAATACATACCCAACGATTTTCCCATACTTTTTCATTAATTCTCTGTCCATTTCTCCAACAGCCTACAATATACAGAATAATATGAGACTATATATCAACTTTAAAGGGAAAGATGAGTAATCATATCTTAGTCGCAGAAACGGGATTTATTTTTGGGAAGCCAATAAGTAATAGAATTCTCAGCCCACCATCGAAATTTTAAGCTTCAAATCTATATGTGCCAAGAATTATCGGCGTTTGAAAGTTGAAATTTAAGTCGTCTTTTCTTTAGACACTGTCCTATATAGAAAAGACATCTATAGAAATAGGAAAAAAATTCCTAATTCGAAGTATTTTTGAAGCAATTATGCGATTTTCGTAGAACTTCTGAATACTATTTACATAAAGTCAAGACTCAAATCAACTAGCCAAAGTAGCTCTACCTCCAAAATTTGACAGAATTGACATAGCCTTTAGAGGTAAAAAGATGTACTTAAACCCGAACCCTATTATGAACATCTTCACAACGTCAAACTATTACGAACGTCGTAGGCTACTTCGACTGCAAGCGATCAAAGATCACGAAAGCTAGAAAAAAATGACAACCACTTGTATAAATAATAATCCTTTATACTAGGAGTAAACCTAGATGAAACTTACCACCCCGCTATATTTTGTTAGTTGTCCCATGAATGTTGGTTCGGGTCCAGGAATACCCAACTTCTTGAAGAGCCCATGATGCCATGTAATATATCTGTAAATAACAATATGTTTATGGGTTCAATGGAAATCAAAAGAAATCCTTTTCATGTATTATATTCTACCAGGCAAGATAACTCGACACTTACTGTGTTCAGAGTAGAAACTTGATGCGCCGCTTCAAATCCAGACCAGCGCAACTCATCTGTAATTTTGATCTCACCTGTTTGATATTATACATACAGATATCTCGACATTGGTGGGCGTGGATAAAACTTCTTTAAAAGGTATTTATAATTATATACAAGTATTTTCGGTTTTTAACTTGGAAAAGTTTGAATGGCCTTGGCAAGGTTAAAAAGACCGCAGTTTGATAATTTATAATGATTTATTAATGAAATTTGTATAATGATCATGCAGAATATCATATCATGTATAACTACGATGCATCAATAAACTTTCTAAATACGTTTAAAGGTTTAGATGCGCCATTTTTCGTTGGCTGATTTAGGTCTTGAATATATGTAAATATAGTCTTAGAAGTTCTAGCAATGTATGAAAATTACCCCCAAACTAGGGAATTTAACGTTCTATTTCTATATATGTCTTTTCTATATAAAATAGAGAACGTTAAAAAAACGACTCGTATTTTTTTAACTTTGAAATGCGGATAATTTTTGACACACATGGATTTGAGGGCTCAAACTTAGACGGTGAGCTGTGAACACACTATTATTGACTAGTTTAGCCAAAAAAATCACGTTTTTGAGACTAAGTTATGATTGCTCGAACGAATGGAGCTTCTGTCCCTGTCCCTTGCATTAATTCAACAGCATTGTGCTCTTCATTTTGATCTCCCGTTCGGTGAGTTTGCTTATTTCATTTATTCTCTGTTAAAAATTTTAACCCATTTCAGTTGTCTCGTTACTAAAAAGGCTTATAAAGGCCAAGGGTCGTTATTGTTTATATTCGTGAAAGGTTGTAGTATAGGCTATAGTCATAGAGTTATATATATATAAAATATATATAGCGATATGAGTATAGCCTTCCATTGGCAAACAAGAAAGAACCTAATATAGGCCTACTGCGGCAAATAGATTATTCATATCTAATAGTGTTCTCTATGTAGATCTTTTTGTGCATAATCTGTATCAAAGTACGCTAAATTTTAATCTTTATTTCGGACATTAAAAACAATGAAATGAAATGAATTGAGTTTTACGTCCTACTTCTCTGCACCATGTGGGTTACTGAAGACGGGCAACGCTATGCAAGATAGGCCACAATGAGGGAAATTTTGCCAGGACAATGGCATTAGCCTGCTCTTTTTCAATTTCCAACTGTCGAGCGAGGGATCTTTAACGTGCACAGCGTGCACAGCGTTTATTGTCCCATCTGAACTGACTTTTTCCATGTCAGCACCTTACCTGTTTCACTGAGGTGATTTTTTTCTTCTCAGAAAACCGAAATGAAAATCACTCTGAATATTGATAAATATGTATTCTTAACTTTTGTGATAAAAATAACTTACATGTAAAATGCTGCAGCCAAAGCAGCTATGAAGACAAAGAAACAAATAAAATATTCCAACATTATTTTATAAAGTAAGCCTAAATTTCCTCGTCTATTTAGAACTCTGTGCAAAAAATGAATTAAATTAAACACTGTTAAAGTACAACGTCAGCTTTTATTTTAAAAATTAACCCTTCCTAAACGATGTTCATACAATTTCATCATACAGAAAGTAACCCGACTTGGATAAGAAAATTTCTTGTTGTCAAACCAACAGGTTTTATATAGGTCAAGGTTATATCTGTATCGAGAATAAAATGTGGCTTCGATTGAAACTCTGTGGTCGAACTAATGTGGAAATGACGTAATTAATTATCTACCATGTGCATGTCGAGTGAGAGTTACAATCGAACTTGATCGAGCAATATGGCACTAAATGCGGTCTTGATAACTCGTATTCGACCTTCAAAATAGCTAAAGTCAGACCCGATCTTCTAACTGGGTCAAATATTACGCCACAGGAGTCTCAACGCCATCAAATATAACATAGAACCTGCAGTCAAACCTGAGCTCCAATCGAAGTCATCCTTTAATGTGTCCTATTTTCCGACCCCAAATATGTAGGCCATAATATACGCACTGTACTTCCAAAATATAAAATAATATTATTTAGTAAAGGCCCCCACACACGGAGAAAAATTGGAGCCCACCAAAAGCGCGGCGCAAATAGCACGCGCTACTTGCTCACCACACTACTCCCCGCACACAACGCGGCTTTCACTCAGCGTTTATCAAAATGGCTGATTACAGTGACAGTTCAAAAGATGAAAAACGAGAGAGAATGCAGTTGTTATTGTTGTCGTTACTCTTCTGGTGATCGGATATTGTACAGGCAGGGTAGGCCTACTCTTGTCACAATTCAACATTTCCTATAGGATCGATTCTGTCAATACTTCACTGGGTGCCGCCGTCTTTAATTATCAATATCGCATGCGCGGTGTGTTCGTTATATTGCCTGAGAAAGTCGCGCTCGATTACCCGCACACATCCAATCCGGTCCCAGTGGAGTAGAAAGGGCTCCAAATGCTACCCCGATTAATAACAGGTGTGTATAGTAGGTTTAGAAAAGAATAAGATAGCTAAAATGCAGAATCCAAACAGTGCATTGAAGGATCTCCCAGAACTATGTAGGCCTATTGGTGTTCCGTCTGCGAAGCATTTTTTTGGAATATGTGAATATCAGCATAGCCTAATCGTTGGCATGACAATTCTGGCGGTAAAATGATAAGAAACCAAAAAATAATCATTTTATGTTAGTGTTATTGAATTAACTATTGTTACAAACATTATATAATAAACAAAAAAAAACCAAAATTGCAATTTCTTTTTCTTTCTTCTATTAGGCCATAGGATTGATGTCATTTTGTCAAAACTCTTAGGGTTCAAAGGAATAAGAACAATTTCATTCTTCTAACCCATGAATTTGTTCAACCAATCTGTTTCATGTGATTTGTAGTATTCGATACTTCGAAGACCAATGAACAGATAAAAATAATTGAATTGTTTGCAAAATTTACAGCGCAAGGAACATAGAATTATCTCCCCTCGAACTGCTCAGACGACAGACTACAACTATATTAGAATTATTCCTTTTTGGTGAAAAAATTCAATTGTACAAAAACTACATTATTTTATTGACGTTAATATAAAGTACGAGGTCATAGAAAAATAAAAAAAGGTTATAAAAATCTACATAATATACTTTTTAGAATCTGAGTCCAAATACCCGTTTAAACGTTAGTGTTATATAATAACATATAATAAACATTGTAATAGTAGCATTTGTTAACTGACACCAGATGAAAATTGAATGGGAATTAATAATGGATACACATGGCTAAGAAAGCTAAAAGTTCACACTATTACTGATTAGTCAAACTGGCGTGGTATTTATCGCTTCTCAAAACGGACATGTATGGGTTTTTCAGTCCTTAAGAAGAGTTCGCCTTTGGCCATTTTCACATTTGGTGTCTGAAAAAAAAGTCAGTAGATCTAAGGTAAAATCTAGAGGCATCAAATCAAATTTTTAGCACTATCCAGTCTCATCACACAGCGACATTATTTAGTCTTCCAGGTGTAAATTTTGTTACTGCCTTCTTGGCCTAGGTCTAGATTACACATAGCTAATTTGATGTTCTACGACCAATATTTGATATTGACCTTGGTTGTTAGCTTTCCAAATAGCCGTCATATCCACTTTTTTGAAAAGTCCAAAGAAGCGAATTTAATGCTATTTAAATGTACACTACCCGTTACGGTGACCAAAATTTGTTCAAACTTGGCCGAAATGAGTCCAGTGGACTTACCAAAACTATACTACAGAATCCCTATTTAATCCAATAATTCCATAAAACTAAGTAATTTTGAAACACGCTTAGAAGCGTTTTTGAATAATTACTTAGTTTAATGGTTATGTCGTCTTATATAGAGATTCTATGTTTTAGTTATGACACCTGACAAGTTCAACTGATGAATATATACACTTGATCAAGTTTGCGACTTGAAATTTTATTTTTATTCTAATACGCAGTATTCTTTTAATGAAGGGACCATCAAATATCTCTGGAGGGTATTCTAAGATTACGATGCAGCAACGAACCAAAGGAGACGGTTGAGGTCAAACCCAGTTTACACATTTCACTTCGTATCACCTACTCGTATTGACTTACCTCGGTTTCTGGAGTACAACATATCTTATAGCTTCTCAGAATACAAACCAGAACTAATTTGAGTTCTAACAGAGCTAAACGTTGGCCGATACAATTTCTAGGTCCCATTCCAAAAGGCATATGGGAATATGGATTTATGGATTCTTTATTCTCTGGTGAAAACCTGAAAGGAAAAATATCAAGTGACCTTTTTACTTCAATAAATGTTCATTTAAGGGACAGGTTCTTCATCTGTTTGACCAATCATATATAGTCTCAAAAGCTGAAATTGTATTTTCAGCTCACCATCAAAATCTGAGCCTTCAAATTCATGTGTATCCAGAATTATCAGCGTTTGAAAGTTAAAATGACGTCTCTGTCATAGAGAAAAGACTTGTATAAAAGTAAAATTCCTAGTTTAAGGTATAATCATAATAACTCTACTTCCAGTCCGCTAGTTCCATTACAAAGTTATAAAGGCAGATATTTACCTTTCTGGATCAAACACGTCAGGATTCTCCCAAAAATCAGGATCCCTCTGTATAGCAAATACAGGAAAAGATATCTCCGTTCCTTTAGCAATAAATGTACCATTGATATCTATATCTTCAGCACAATATCGAACCGTTCTAAAATATAGCGTTATGATATAAATAGTTTTAGTCGTTCCATGAGTTAAAGGGGCAGTCTAGTTTTGGAAGTAGGTTGGAATTAAAGTAACCTGCCGTTCATTTTTAGAACGACAAAACTATTTAAAAGGTTTACGTAAACAGCAATATAGTTTCGATTCTACAAGATTAGTAGACTGTAAATCAACATTACCTTATCAATGCTGGAAATAATCTAAGAGTTTCATCAATAACCTGTTGTAAATACTTCAATTTGGTAATATTTTCATGATCAGGTTCTTCATCCTGTCAATAAAAATTGAAAAGGGGAATTAATTCAGCAATATGCCTAAATTTAAAACTAAGCGTTTTATGATGTCACTATCGCAAAATTTCTCAATATATAAATAAATCAAGTACTAACGATCCGAACCGCAAAACGAAACCCGAATTCAAAACAACACATTGGCGAAACTTAAGTAGCAGCTAATGAACTTTTCACTTGCTTGAAGAAGTATTTCATAATATACAGTGGTACCATTTCGCAGCATTTGAGATAGTGACGTCACAGACGTCTTACTGGAAATCAGAACGGTGCAAATCGATGCTATCAGTGTCTCTGATACACATGAAAATTTAAAAAAAAATCTCTACAAAAAAAATATAAAATTCCAGAAATTGTTACCTTTCCAAGTTTCTGGTTGATTTCGTGAAGAACTTTATCCTGAATGTCTGGGTGGGTGGCTAAACAATATGATACAAATGACAAAGTGGTTGATGTTGTATCATAAGCAGCCAACATAAAAACAAGAAGATTTCCAATCAGATCATGTTGATTGAAAACTGAAACAAAAAACCACTTTTAATAACTACACACAGCCTAAAACTGGTTGTGCCGATATCAATTTGGGCCTCGACATGCTTTCTTGGTCCGAAAAGTTCTCAACCACCATAGGAACTGCCTTCTTGAACAATGTTCATAGACCCACCCCAAAGGGAGCCCCAACCCATGATAAAAATGCAAGGGCATATGCTAAAAAAAATTCCCGGAAGAGAAAGTGGGGGAGTTGAGCCACTGGGTCACATCACAACACAACAAATAAACGTGTACAAACTTTCGAATTTCAAAAATTACATTTTTGTCCATTCAGTTCAGTTGAATACGAAAAATAAACCGATTAAAAAAACCCGAAAAAGTTTATCACCCAAGGGTTTTTCCGCTTCATTTATACCAAACCTCCGGTTACGCGAAAAATCTGCAACAAGTCAATATTAGCCTAATTATTTTAAATCATTTCGCCAACACTTATTACCTCTGCCTTCCTGTCGTTTTTCAGAATCTTCTTTGGCCTTCATTGCCAGAGATACGAAGTCTGCTCTGTCCTGAAAAAATATATTTCATAAGTGAACCCAAACAAGAATTTACATTATTGCGCCATTTTAAAATGACATATGCGCCATTTTGGGGGGTTGATTTGAGTCTTGAATATATAATTATGTAATAGTCTTTAGAAATACTAGAAATAGGCGAAAATGGCAAAATTCCTTTAAAAATACTTCAAACTAGGAATTTCTATTTCTATAGATGTCTTCTCTATCTTTGGTAGTGCCTCAAGAAAAGACGAGTCGTCTTTTTGACTATACCCATATCAATAATTTGAAGCCTATGAAAACTTACAGATGGATTATTCTGTCTCTCAGCAATAACTTTTTCTATTGTGTCGATCATAAATTTCTTGGGCTCCCTTTTCATAAAACCAACACCAAAAAAATCCATAATGGGTATCGTAAATGGCAACAAGACTGAAAATCGAATTTACACTTAAAATATGTACAAAACGAAAATATGAAATTCGACAACAGTAAATAATGCTCTTCATCGTTTAAAGAGAGAGATCCCTTTCGACATCTCTGTAAGTGAAAAGATTTGATAGAAATCAATGCTCCTATATAATACAGAAGCTTAGCTTTAACATTGACTGAAACATCTGTTTCCAAATAGCTATCGGAGGCTGCATTAGAGGCAGATGTGTCGGTCTAAGTATCTAACAATGCTAAATAACGTGGTTCAAACACGATTGCTGTTTCCATTATCATATCCATAAATCACACTAAGCCAACTGTAGATTAAAAGTATCCTGACCTGCGAACATTGCTATGATTGAAAATATTTTGTAGCAAAATTACAGAATTGTGGCCTGTGCTTGGAAATTGAGATTAGACGTGACCATTTATCGTACTTACTGCAAATCAGATTAAAAGGATTTCTCAAGTTAAATTGTGATGCATCTTTTGCAGCTAGGATTAATGGGTTATCTGGGTTACCTTGAGAATCAATATCTATTCCGAAAGCTGTGGTACAAATCACATCCAATGTAAAACCGCTAAACATCCTAAAACATCAAAATTGGATCTGAATCATGTACTTATATCGTAATTATATATTTAGGGGTGGGTATCCTGTTATGATAGGCTTCCATTAGGGCGTCCACCCAGCATTTCCGGTATTGGGGGCAGCTCTATAGGAATCCTTGTACGTCTTTTGAAACGCCTAATGCAAACGCAATGATTCTGTTGCTGGTTCAATAACGATTATCTACTTGGATAACCTGAGTAGGATGTCACAATACTTACGTTTTAACATCTACCGCTTTCCCACTCTCAGCATGTTTTTCGAGGTGCTTCAAAAAGTTCTCTACGCAATTTTTCATCAGGGGTACCATCTGAGAGAAAAATGAGATATTTCAATATTCTCCCATAGCTGGGTGAATCTTGACATCAAGGTCGTTGGATAAAAGTAATCGTTTCTCATTAATTCATAGGCCTACTCCATACGCCATACTCTGGATCCATAATCCAGATGTAAATGGGTACACGGATAAATTGAGAAAGATCAATGCGAGGAAGTTTGGCCGAGTTGGTTGACAGAGTTCCCCAGGAGCTAAATTGTTATCCTCGTTATTCTGGTTAAATTGTTGTTTTTATTTCTGTACTCTGATGTAAAATTACAACATCATTGCTTTTAAACTGAACTAGCCTGGGGTTTAATAGCTCTTATTTCTAACAGAAATACAATAAATTCTACCTACCGCTCTCATTTTCCCCGATGTAAATGATGGAGAAAGAACTGAACGAGAGTTCCTCCACCTCTCACCGTTGACAACAGTCAAAAAAGCTTCTTCATAAAGATCCTTTGGTACATTGAACTGAAAGGTAACCGAAATTTAAGGAAATCCATGGGGTTAAGGGTCATATTTCTCTAGATTTTGGTGTATAGTTTCGAGCAAAAACAAATTTCCAACTCCCCAAAAATCAAATTACCCCTTTATCATAATTCATCTAATGAAGGTGCTCAGGCATTCCATACGACATACTTACTGGTCTTGAAGAAAAATTGTTGAAATGTTTAATGCAGATTTCTTTTACCAGATCGGGATCACCAACATTCAGAACTGGAGTACGACCATGATAGTAACTACAAAAAGAATGATTCAAATAAAGTTTAATATCTCCTTTCTTCAGAATATTATGCTGCTATAATGTATTATGGCGTGCAGGTCCATTTATTAGGACTTTGTCATTTGGTTGAATATATCAAATGACCTAGAACATGAGATGCATATGAATTTCTTCAGATCGTGGATGGCAGTGGGGTCAGCGACCTCTTTCAGGCTAACGCAAAGTAACTGAATTGCTATTGGTTGATATTCGGGCTATAGGTTGTCACAAATAATACATACCCAACGACCTTCCCATATTTTTTCATTAATTCTCTGTCCATTTCTCCAACAGCCTAAAATATAGTACAATATTAAATGACTCTATATCCACTATAACAGTGTCAATGATTGGACAGAATTGACATATAGCCTGGATATATACAGGTAAAAAGATGTACAGATGTAAACCCTAACCCTATAATGCCAAGCTATTAAGAACTTATACCTTGACTGCAATAGCCACTATTCTTATATCACGATTGATTGAATAATGCGCCAGGGAATATAAACAAGCATAGCCCTCGACGGAAAAGACTGTGAACATTATGGCTTTGTGTTCACAGACCTGAATGGCTTTATTACGTACGAAGTACGAATTTCGTAATATTAGCTCGACATTGTGAAGATGATAAATGAAGTAACATCAAATTTTCTTATTTTTGAGCAAATTACATTGTTTAAATAATAATCCGATAACTGGATGAAACTTACCACTCCGCCATATTTGGTAAGTTGACCCATGAATGTTGGTTCGGGTCCAGGAATACCAAACTTCTTGAAGAGCCCATGATGCCATGTAATATACCTGTAAATAACAATATGTTTATCATATCTGGACACCTAATGCGTTCAGGGAGTTAAGACATGTGCAGAAACTGTATACAATAGGCCTTTGTACGCCGCTTTAATTCATACCAGCGCCACCCATCTTCAATTTTGATCTCATTTGTTTGGTACTATGCATGAGATCTCGTCATTGTTGTGCTTGGGTAAAACTTGTTGAATAGTGTGACCTTCACAAGGTTAAATATACCGCAGTTCGGTTTTGGTAAAGAAACTAATAATATACATTATGAAATTTGTATAACTCCGAAGTATCAAGAAACAATCTAAATATATTTAAAGGGATTGTAAAGAGGTTTTCTGAAATGTTTATGTGTAACAGAGATAGAGGTTCTTGCAATTCCTCTAAAACTAAATTGTTCGATGACGTCACTATTCGTAAAGGACGTTACGTTATAAATGATAATTTGCAATCAGTGACGTCATTAAACACTTAATTTTAGTGTTAGATGGTGAAAAGAACACAGTCTCATGAAGGCACTGGCCTAGGTCACAAGGTAAAGGTTTATGATAAAACAAATTCTAGTGGAACTGCAGAAATAAAAATTGGAATGGAGCAAATTGATGATATCTGTGTCCCTAATACACATTATAAACAATTAAGAAAAACTCTTTACAATCCCTTTAAATCTGAAGAAATGATTCGTCTCAGTGAGTTTGCTTATTTCAATCATGCCCAGTCAAAAAATGTAACCCCATTCAGCTGTCCCGTTACTAAAAGTAGATACTTAGTAATAATAATACCTCCACTCAGCTATCCATATAAAGGCCAAGGGTCATTATTTCCTTCATTCGTGAAAACTTGTTATATCATTGGCAAATACAAGAAAAAACTTTTTGCACCTATATCAATGTAGGTTAAATTTTAATCATGATTTCGGACTTGGTAACGTTATAGATTTCTAATGATTTTTTCATGAACCCAGGATTTCAAATGAAAATGATTCTGAATTGATCAATATAAATTATTTTATTTTGATACAATAAAATAAAAAATAACTTACATGTAAAATGCTGCAGCTAAAGCAGCTATGAAGGCGAAGAAACAAATAAAATATTCCAACATTATGCCTAAATTTCCTCGCCTAATTAGAACACTGTGCTATAAGTGAATTAACTTTAACAATTTTAGCACAATAACACTTTCCAAGTACAACGTCAGCTTTTATTGAAAAATTAACTTTTCCTAAATGATGTTTAAGTTCACATAATATCGTCATACACCTAAGTAAACCGACTTGCATAAGAAAATTTCTCGTTGTCATAAGCCAACAGGTTTTATAGGTCAATATGATTGTGTCCTATTTTCCAACCCCGAATATGTAGGCTATGATACTGATCTTACAAAATATGAAGTAATATTACTTCATGAGCACTTAATAACATGTAATTTTCATAAACGCTTAATAACATGTAATCCTTATTAGCGCTTAATATGTAATCTTTTTAGGTCTGAGCTTTTCTCAGACCCTTCAAAAGGGGGTGGGGTGGGGGATTTCTATGGCGTTTCTGCTTTGGAATCCCAACACTGACAGGGGACCCTATATACTGAAGTCATTTACTTTGAGAATCGGGCATTACCCAGTCCATGACCGTCATGAGTTGATCTGTTGAAGCTTCAAATTAAGCCTTAGGATGTGATGGTGGGGGGGGGGGGGGGGGATCTCATTTGTTTGGTACTATGCATGAGATCTCGTCATTGTTGTGCTTGGGTAAAACTTGTTGAATAGTGTGACCTTCACAAGGTTACTGCAGTTCGGTTTTGGTAAAGAAACTAATAATATACATTATGAAATTTGTATAACTCCGAAGTATCAAGAAACAATCTAAATATATTTAAAGGGATTGTAAAGAGGTTTTCTGAAATGTTTATGTGTAACAGAGATAGAGGTTCTTGCAATTCCTCTAAAACTAAATTGTTCGATGACGTCACTATTCGTAAAGGACGTTACGTTATAAATGATAATTTGCAATCAGTGACGTCATTAAACACTTAATTTTAGTGTTAGATGGTGAAAAGAACACAGTCTCATGAAAGCACTGGCCTAGGTCACAAGGTAAAGATTTATGATAAAACAAATTCTAGTGGAACTGCAGAAATAAAAATTGGAATGGAGCAAATTGGGGGGGGTAGGGGAATATCTTTGCAAAACAGACTCAGGTACAGTCTTCTTTTCAAGATATACCACAAATAGCTGTGCTGACTCTATAATAGTGTTGAGATATTTTTTTACCACCGACGTTTTTAAAACTTGTTATAAATTCTATAAGTTTATGTCACTCTTCTATTTTGAACTAGGCAGAGCTCTCTATATAATATGGCTCCACGGGAGTAACATAGTATTGTTGTCTGATAATGTCTCGCGAGTTATCTCCCATTCTTTTTGCATGACGGGAATTTTCGAAATCATCCAATCAAATGCCATCTTTTCATTTACCTTTGAAAACGAAAGCGGCAAGAAGAAAATAGTGTTATGGTTTAAAAAAAAAATCAGATTACTTTTAAAAATAATAATTTTTGTTTTGAATCAAGTTAACGGACAAACTACGCATCATGAGCGAGAGGTATTTCCCATTTATTCTTTATTTTCTCTTTGAGAAATTCAAAAGCCCCACAAACAAGCATTTGTCTTGTAATCTTTCTTCGGTCTTCGACTTTTTTTTTATTTTGAAAGTTTTATCTGTGTAAGATTGTGATGGAAGCCACTTGAACAAGTTGAACAAATTGAGTGATAGTCTCAGTGATATTCATTTAGTCTGAGTGTTGGCGATGAGGATCTGTTGAGTAACTAATTCTTGGGTCAAGTTGTCAATTTATATTTTTAAGAAATGTACTTTACTAAGTACGGTACTGTACTGTAGATCTAGTGGCAAGTACACATTATTTGATCGATTTCAGCACTTTGCAATTTCACAATTTGACCATAAACCTTGACAAGATACTTATTTACAAGTTGTTAGAAGCCGAGTAGACAGTAGTGATAGCCTACAATTTCGACTAACATGTAGACATAGCTCAACTACCTAGATCTACTTTATTGAACGTACTAATGGCAACTACTTTTATGGGTATCTCTGTAATGTGCCGTAGGTACTTAGTTTGCACTTTTGTAGGCAGGTTTTATTCTCAAATCGTTAACTTGTGTGCTGAAATCAATCAAATTTGCACTTAACACAAAGAACATTAATGTCCTTTAATGACAACACTAAGACTGTCTAAGTTTATTTATCATAAACTTAAGATCGATCAGAGAGTAGCTCTGAAATTATGGAACATTTCCTGCCTTTGGCTTTAGTCTCAGGTGACTTGATTGGCTGCCTCAGGCAATCAGCATCAGCGATTTTATTGTCTTTTGCTTCCAATTCCAATTAATGCTGGGCTAAAAAATGAAGTAAAAAATACAGTCCATAGCCAGACTGTAGACTAACTGTCTTTTTTTTCCCTTATATTCCAGGCAGCGTATAAAGTCAGAAGTGCATGCTTTCTTTGACAAGTCACTAGATAAATTTTATGCAATATGGGAAAGTATTGGAATACCAGACGATGCCATCAGAGCCCGAGGTGACACAGTTTCCCTCCATTTACAGACCTTGATATCAGAGATGTTACAAGAAGAAGATGCATTAAAAGATAGAATGCAGAAGAGTATCAGTGAATTTTCTCTCCAGGTTAAAGAACTGTGTGAGGAACTTCAGTTACCAGTTTATAAGGTGAGTTAACAGTTACTTAGCTACCATTGCCTTTGGAGGCTTAAGCTTATAGGTAAGGGTCTAGACTAGTTTTGATTATTTGTTTATGTCTGATAGTAAGTTTATAACATGTTAACACATCAGAAAACAGTCTGAAGAATGGTGTTCAGTGGCTTTAAAAAAATCACCTCCTGGTTTTATGAAGATATCCCTTTAACTGAAAGAAAAGACAAGGATTATGTCCCATTTAGACCATTTCACTAAATTTAACAACATTTCAAACAAGGTTAACTGATACCAATATCATAATGTTAACTGTTAATGCAGAATTTTTGAATGTTGAACTCTGTTTTCAGAGTCAGTCAGGTTTACCGATGATACAGAAAGAAAAGGATCTAAGAATGAAAGTTGAGTCATTGTCACATGAAAAGAATACAAGAGTAAATGATATGAACAGACTAAAAGGACAAGATCAGAACTTATGTGAAGCATTGTGTATGACACCATATTACATACCAACTGGTAGTGTACCATCTAGAGATCAGATCAAAGAATTAGAAAAGCATGTTGCTTCACTCAAATCCACCAAGGTAATTTAAAGAAGACATTTTAACAGAAAGCCAGTTTTTCAAAACTGCCTTTTGTTACTGTAATCAAACATTTTTTTCATTATCATGTGAAACTTGCAACATACTAAAACTAAGGACTAATTTTTTTTATATGAGATAAGCTTATATTTTGAAAAATAAGATCCTTGTAACCTTTTCTTAAAAAGATTTGCACTCATATGTTGCAAACATTTTTCCTCTTGTACTTGTAGTTCTTGTTTTGTTTCAGGACAAACGTTTATCTGATTTTTTAACAACCAAGAAAGACATCATTAAATTAATGGATGAGTTAGAACAGGATCCAGAAACATCTTTTGAAAAGGATGTTGTTTTAGAGGCTGAAGATTCCTTTATTTTATCTACTGATAACTTGAAAAAACTACTATCTTTACAGCAAGAGGTAGAGTTGAATTTTCCAATTCGTTTGTTAACTTTATATTTTAGTGAATGCAAATTCAGTCAAATTCAAGTGTGTCAAATTGTCAATGATAAAGCAATAATTGAAATGTGTTCTTTGGTTATAAATATTCCTCAGATTTCTAATTATAAAGCTTTTGTTTTTTCAGTTCAAATGCAAAATCAGGCACATCAAAAAACTGTGACGCAAGGTCGTGCATGAAAAAGTATTAAGAAATGATTTAAAGGACTTCTGAAGACTATTTGTACATATATTCAAGGCTAAAATAAACCCCAAAAATGCAACATCTGTCCCTTTAAAGTTTGAATTCTGTTTATGATCTTTGGAATTTCTACTTCAGCTTTTATCAAAGAGAGAGGAAGCTAAACAGATATGTAATGATTTATGGCAGACAGTGAAAAGTTTATGGGATAGATTAGATATATCGTTATCTGAACGTAATGCATTCTGTGCTGGTAAAGAAGGTTATAAACGTAAAATTCTACAATGTTTACGTGAGGAGATTATTCGCTGTGAACAAATGAAGTTACAGAATATTGAACGATTTGTATTGGGTATACGTAAGGAATTGACTAGCTGGTGGGACACATGTTTCTATAGCAAAGAACAACGAGAACATTTTGATATGATCTTCCATGAGGGTATGTATATTTATAACTTTCAATGAATCATCTTATCATTGATACACCAAATTAATTATGATCTTGTCATACCTACCTGATTCTGGTTCAGCATATATCATATGGTCAGAGATAATATTAAACCACAAATTACAAGAATTCCTGATTATGCGATACCAGTTGAAAATTTAATTGGTTAATACATGAAATGTTGATTCTTGAAATGCTGACCATGTCTAATTAATATTTGATCTTGATAATATTTCAGATGAGTTTACAGAAGAGTTATTAGAAATACATGAAAGAGAACTAGCTAAAGTTAAAGATTATTATCAACAGAATAGAGAGTTATTAGATAAAGTGGCACAACGAGAATCATTATTCAAACAGTTCTTAGAAGCTGAGGTATAATTCCTTCCAGAGATTTTGAATTTGAGTATCTATAAAAATTTTGAATATCATTTCTGAAAGACATTGTTCAAAAATTCTAACCATAGTGAGAGACTAGTAATAGTAAATCCACCATCAAAACCCCGCAAAAATTGTTGATCAATAAACTTTTTTATTTTAACAGAAAAATGCAAAAGATCCAGATCGATTCTTTAAGAATCGTGGTGGTAAATTATTACAAATGGAAAAGGATATGAAAAAAATTCAGAAAGATTTACCCAAGGTTTGTATTAGTGAAGTATATTTCTAAATATCGTATAATAGCATTTTAAACTTTTAAGACCTTTTCAACACTAGCAGTTGCTCTGCCTAGACACATAATTTCGTAATATGTAAGTCATGTATGTATACAGCCATTACCAAGTGAAAACTTAAATAGACCTCTTAAAATTGCTATATTTTAGATTGAAAACCTTTTAGATAATCGGGACACAGCTCCCCTAAAAAGTGTCACTTTCGTAGAGTTTAGAATTTCCATCTTTTACTTGTGTTTTGTAATTTCTAATGACAGGTATTTTGTATTGTAGGTTGAAGCTAAAGTTAAAGAAGCTATTTCAGAATGGGAAAAAGAAAATTGTAAACAATTTTTAGTGGGAGGTGTGAAATACGATGCATTTATAGATCAACAATGGCTAGATTATGAAGAATCTAAAATCAAAGAAAAAGAACAAAGGGTAATAGTCATTATTTTTTAAGCACTATGCTTGATTAATCTCTCTAAGATCTTACTTCTTGATTGGGGAACTAAGTTTCACTTTAAGATTTTCTTTGGGAGCCGCAGTGACTCGGTGAATTAGATGCTTGCACGCTAACCTGAAGGTCCAAGGTATAATCCCGGCATAGGTCGAGATAATACAGTTGGATTTTTCAACAAGTTTCCCCCTGTCAGTGATGCAAGTAAGAGGGGCTGACATGGAAAAAGCGTCTAATCGTACAAGCTGTGCATGTTAAAGATCCCTCGACAGTTGAAAATCGAAAAAGTCTGCTAATATAGCTGTCCTGGCGAAATTTCCCTCATTGCACCCTGCATGGCGTGGCTTGTGTTTTCATTAACCCACATGGTGCAGAAAAGTAGGATGTAAATCCCCTTACATTTCATATTTTAAGATTTTGTATGTAACTAAAAGTACTACTTTTAGATTATTCACCAACTTGGCATACAATTTACATATTTAAGAACTCCAATCAAATATTATTAGAAAAATATTCAAATGTTGGGGTTACTAACTAAATGTGACTCTTTAATTTTCAGCACATAAAGAAGATTAAACAAACAGTAGAAGAAGCACACTTTGGTACCCATGTTAGTAAAACCACACCTGTCAAAAGACGATTACAAACACCTACCAAAACACCATTACAAAATAAATCAAGAAGGGTAAGCCTTGAATTTTTCGATCAATTTATTAAAGAATAACTGTCATTGTCATTGCTGGTACAAAAACACAGATTTCATTTGGCACTATGGCATGATCCTGAAATCAGAATGTGTTAGGTCATTGGTCTTGAGAAGAAAGCTTGTACTTTGCAAATGATGCTGTTTTAACCATGAGTTATCTTGGAACAAAGAATCTATGCTTTTAATGTTGTTATAGTACTATAGGGGACACTCTCTGAGAAACATGACTTGAGTGAAATCAAGATTAAGCTTATAAGATTTGCAGTTATATGATTGGTTTATATTTAAACCTTGTGATTAACCAATGAGATGATTGCGCCCCAGTGTTGTAAATAGAATTTTCAAAAGACATGTATTGTGTATGGTTTTCTATAGGTTGATAAAAGTAAAACTAGTTTTACAGCCAGTATTAAAATGAAACTATCAGTTTGTCAAAAGGTAGCTAGTTAGTTCTGCAAGTTATACTACAGTTCACCTTTGACAGTTTTTGCACTTTGTTCAATCACTTTATTCTGTTATCCAACTTTCTTTCACTTTATTCAAACTGTTTGGTTTGTTAACTTATATTGTTTGATCATTCTTATGCAAGTGGATTTCAGGATTCAAGTCTGATTTCTTCTGAGATATCGGGTTGGCCAGAAAAAAATGTAACGAATGTTTATAAAGCATCAAAGTTAAATTTTTGACATAATTATGTCATCTCTGTATTTAAATGATCAATCTTAGAAAAAACTATTCTGAAAACCAAGGTTTCACAATATTTTTCATCTTCACATTGTCAATATATTGCAAACTCTGTCTTATACCTTGACTGCATAGCCACAATTCCTGTATCACAGAAGTTTGTAAATGCAGCGCTTAGATTGGATTGTATGTTAATGAATACACAGAATGAGTGCCCTTGAGAAAGTTTGTAAACCATAAGCCATAATGTACAATTGCTTTAATTGTAATACAAGAATTGTGGCTATTGCAGTCAAGGTATAAGACAAAGTCATGATGATTGGTTTTTCACTGGTTATTATATGCACTATGCACTGTTATTAATTGTTTGTTCACTGCATGTCACTTTCCAGATGAATGAAACTAAAACACCTGGTTCTGCTAGCCGTTTACATCAGAGAAGTGTATTTGCTTCTCCTCTTGCTAGAGCTCCTATTTCTGTTACTAAACTTAAGGCCAAAACAGAGGTGAGATTTGAAACTACTTTTGAATGTTGCTTGACTGGTAAAGTATAAGCTTATATATACTTTGGTCTATTTTACTTTCTTGCTTATACAGAATTTATTAGCATTGGTGAGCAAAAGCTTACACGACATATATTGCATAAGATCATTAACCCTTTAAACACAAGTGTGTCTCAACTGGCCCCATAGACTTAAGTAAACCCCAGTTTCTAAAACTAGTAGTAATCGTGAGGATTGTAAGCTGATATCACTTGTAATCAATCATAAAAACACGGAAATGAAGGTAGGTTTTCTTGTCCATGCAATGCACCAATGTACAGTGGGCTTAAAGTGATGATAACCGTATCCCTTTTGAAAATGATCAAATTGTATATTTCAGACACCAAAACAGAAACGAAGATCAAGTAGATTACAGCGTAAAATTTTATCAGAGAAAAATAAGAGAGTTCAGAATAAAGCACATGATCACAGTAATGTATTTAGTAGGACCACGGTAAGCAGTGGTGAAAGTGTTCTTAGTGGTGATTCAAGCCTAGCTTCAACAGGATCATATCAAGATTTTGCTGTGTGTATATTTTAATTTTTTCCTCCCTTTCAGTTACTGTGCACAGCTGTTTATACTAATATACTTTAAAATATCCCAAACTCTATTCCCATTGTAAAGATACTTTCTCAATAGAATTAACCATAAAAAATGAATTTTGAACATATACTCAAATGTAGTGATCTGCAATAGCTTGATATAAATTAATGCTTAAGATGTAATTTAATATTGGTACTTCAAGATCGGTTTCCACATTTAAGTACCGGTATATAAAATTTGGTATTCTCACAATTTTTTTTTATATTAGATGCAAAACATGTTTGTTTATCTTGTTTGTGTGTTTATTGTAAGCTGTTTGTGTTCTTCTCCCTATAATGTCTGTTAACAGCACTCTTTGTGATTTAATTATTGCTCAGCTGAGTTACTGCTTGGACAATCAAGCATGTCAAGAGTTTTCTTAATTGATAATTATGTTTATTAATTCAGATTCCAAATAAGAAAGCCAAATTAACTGTTGAAACTGAGACTGATAAGGAAAATCAGGTGGAATAAGGTCTAGAGGTAAAAATTCCTGGAAATTGGCAACATCATTGCACGGCTTATTTTGGACTCTTGGCATGCTGGATTATTACTGTTATAGAACAGTGCTTCTCAACCTCAGTGAGATCATTCCTCCCTGGAAGAGTTATTCCAAATTTATTCCTCCCTAAAATAAATCAGTCATATTGAAAGGTATTTTATTAAAAAATATATTCAACGATTAACCATGAATGTATATAAAACCACGAGATTTGTGAGCCTTGGGCCGAATATTCATTGATGTACGGGGTGAATGACGTCAATTTCAGTTGTAAAACCATATTTCTTTGTGAGTGCATCATTAACTGCTGAACTCACAATCCAAAAAATACGTGGTAATAATGGCATCAGTAGATTCCTCCCCTAGAAATAATACCTCCCAATGGCTTTCCAATTCTTCTCTTTATTCCTTCCCTGTTGAGAAGCACTGTATAGAATATTTTAGCATTCACATTTTATATAGACCATGGCCATTATCCTTATTTCTTGGTTTTAGAATATATTTAGTGTCTACCTTTTTTTATAGACCATTTCATCTTTTCATATATATTTTTTGGAATTATTCACATACCAAATTTTTATCTCATTAATATTCATTTTTTCTCTCATTAATATTCATTTTTCCACTTACTATTATTCATTTTTGGTTCATTGATATTCATATTTTTACATATTAAGCTAGCTCTGATTTCTGCTTTTGTGTAGCTTCTTGATGTCTGCTTTCTGTTAACTTCTTGATATGATCTACTGTATGTCCTGTTTGGTTTGTTACTTACACCAAGAAACATCATGTCTTTATTTTCTAACATTATAGCTTTTGGTTGCTTGCAAGTTGAAATGTCATATACCCAAATCACCTTTTTTTCCTTATCGGAGATCATAAACTTATTTTAGCAATAAATGTGTACTTACATACTTACAGTTGCCTCATTTTTAGGCATTCCACTGGTTAACATGGTGAAATCAGCATATATTGAACCATAAAACATACAGACAGTTGTTCTTGCACTCGATTTTCTTGTATTTTACCACTCAGTATCTAGCTATCAGAGATATGGTATGAGTTGACAAGTTTAGGACTCAAATATTCTTAGACTGCTTCAGAATTCAATTCATTAAATTTTTTTTTTATTTATTGACTTTGTTTTTCTATTTCAGACTGGTTTAACACCTAACGCCAGACCAAACTGTAGAAGTAGTTGTGCCATGTTATTAAGTCCAGAACATCAATTATAGACAATATTTTATTCCCTCTGTATATAGAATTTTAACTGACTACATTTATCAATTTCTATGGTTTGTTTTCAAATCTAGAAATTTACTTGCCCATGAATGTGCTTGGAAAAATCGAAGGAAATTGGTGCCGATGCCGGTAAATGACTTCACTGTGTTTTGTGAAGACTATGGAAACTAAACTGATGTAATTTATATTGTTTTTTTAGCAATTTTAACTTGAGTTGTGTATAATTTAACTGTAAAGTAATAGTTAGATAATATTCTAACTGAACTTCTTAACCACAAAATTTTACTTATTTTGAACTGCTAGCTGTCATTCAAATGTCACATGATTGAAAATTTGTTAATGAAGAAGTGTCCACTTTATAGACAAATTTAGTCTAAGGTGATTGGGTGAAAAAGTGGGTTAGGTTCTAAGCTTTGTTGTACTAATTAATGTGCATAGATATTTTATGATTAAACATGGGCATTGCACTAAATTTATCAATTTTCATACATTTATTTCGAAATTTAGTTGCTATATCTATGTTTATTTAGCTAATAGAACAAATGTTGATGTCTGTGGCCTGTCAGAAACATAATCTTGATATGAAAATGGCACCAGCAAAACCAGCAAAATTGCTATTAATTTGTGGATATTTCCCAGATTAAAATCATATCAGACTTAGGTATTCTGATAATTTTTGACTGATATTTACCTCTATGAAATTGTGATATCTGAAAATGTTTCCATAAACTGATACATTTGATCAAAATTTTTGTTATATTTCTCGAAGATCTGGTGACGTAAAACTCCATTCATTTTATTTCTAAGATCTGGTGTTATTTACTATAAACTCATGTTGATTTTTAGCTCTGTTGTTTTCTCTGTCTTTGTATATTTTGTGTTTTTGTGCAATAAGTTAAAAGCTTGTAAAATGTATTCCTTTGTCTTCTGGGCTAGATTTGTGTTGAAAACAAATTTCTCGATCAAATTTATTATAGGCTTTGATAGAACTTGAACATCTTCAAAATCTCAAGCTTTTACGAACTATGACATCATTAGGCGTTTTTATTGTACTAAAGAAGATCTTTTATGCAGCGATTTGATTGAACTGTACGACAATGAATACAGCAAATCAGAGCCCTCAATTACTCACGAAGCCGTATTATTTAGTCAGGGGCTCTGATTTTTTTTTTTTCAGTTCAAAACTGGTGACAATTTGAACAATTTGAAAGCTTTTGATCCTTTTTTCAAGCAGACTGATATACTTTATGAACAAAATATGTAATTGGTGAACAATTTTTAAAAAGTAAACTGTGTTATAGAATGTATATATTGTATATAATAGAAACTTGGCTTTATATAATATTGTAACTCTGCTATCTAATAGAATGTTATTTAATATACATGTCTTTCTTTCCTACTATCTTCATGGCTTCTGTATCAAAGTTAATTACTATGATCAAATAAATTACTTCACTATACATATTACTAAGATTTATTACTAATTCTGTGGACCTTGACCATTGTGAAGATGTTCAGCAGGTTTTCTTCACTCCGCATTTATGCTCTTAAGAACTTAAACTTGATTATGACTTTACACATCATTTGATTGGCTAAATAGTTTGGTGACCTTGAACACGTGTTGCTTAACCATTTACACAGATCATGGACAGCGGGTTGGTCAAACCTTGGACAATCTCAAAAGGCGTCAACTGTCGTTATTTTGCAAGATGGATAATTCCCCATTAAGGTCTGTTTCTTCCATAGTTATGTCTGAGCCATTTCGAATAAAAACTTTTTCAGTCTTTCTGAAATCTATTGGAATACTCAAAATGGAGTATAATATATTTTAATATCAATACAGGATTGTTAAACTCTCATATATTCTGATAAACTCTATATTGTAAACATTGCATGTAGTATATCACAGAAGAGTGGATATTTCAAACTCCCTGACAGAAAAAAAACGTCAATTATTAATGCTATTGCTCTACCACAAAGAAATTATCATACATGATCTGCATATTGGCTTAATAATTAATACTAATACAGGCGATAAAGCTGGATTAAAGTCTAATACTTAATCAAATACCCTAAAATCTGCATAGATTTGTACCATTCATAATACATAATTAGTGTCGTTTTTACTGGATCTGATTTCGTCATACAAATAGAGACCGCATACAGCGCCATTTATCTATGGAAAAAACCATAGATCTTGCTAATTTTTGATTGGCTGGGACTATTTACCACTTTTGCCTTCTGCAAGGTTTGAAGTTTATCCAAACCAGACTCTTTCTTTGAAGAGCTCCAGCAATCCAGTGAAAAAGAAACTTCCAATAAATAATATAAATAGCCTATAGTCTGGTATAAAAGTATAATATTGCCTAGATATGTCCCTTAATGTTACGATGATTCCATTTTAATATCTGGAGTTGTAAGGGAAGTACGTAGAATTCGAGTAGGTATATCTGGGTCTAGATCGAACGTCAGCATTACGGTAAGATCGTTCAAAAGGTCTGTAATCATAATCCTCTTCAAAACTTGTATCATCATCTAGACTGGAGTTCAAAGGATTTACGGATGGAATATGACTAGCACCTGAAGGATGAGTGTAATACTGTCGACGATACGTTGACAACTGTGGGCCCAACAGTTTGGTCCTGGCAGCCATTAAAACATCTGATGCGGCTTTGATTGCTTCTTCACCACTTGTGTCTGCGTTGATGCTTTCTCTCGTTTCGATGGCACCTGAAGTACAAATGTGAGAATTAGGCACCACAAAGAGTGATTGTTTTTAGACATGGTCAACTGTCTTTAAGAAGAGCTTCTGTTGTGAATACTCATGAAGCCTTTCAGGTCTGAATAGAGGGAACATTATATGAATCGTCATACCTTTAATGGAATCCCTCAGCTGCCTGGTTGGAGATTCACCATTTACAATGGTTCTGTATTTTATTTTGTCCAATTCCGATCTCAGTTGATGACATAAAGCCAATGATCCTTTGGCAATATTATCTTTGGGTACCAGTTCTGATTCATACGCTTTCTGCAAAGTTGTTTCATTTAACTGAGTAAAGTCAACCAAATTGATCAGATCTTTTTTCTGCTCCTCATTCAAACCATCTTTATCTGAAATAATTATGTGGTTTGTCAGCAACGTTCAACCATATAGATACATTCTTTCAACGTCCAACAACTTGGAATGGAATGGATTGCAATACCGTCCCAATAAAAAAAAGTCCTTACTTACCTGACTTCAGAACATACTCCAACACATCGTACACTTTATTATGATTTGATCTACCATCAGTTGGTGCTGCAGACATCAGAAGTTTGAAAGTTTCAGAAGTCAAAATTCCCTTCTGGGCCATTTCTGAGTTATAAGTATCTACCAACTTACAAGCTGCCTCGTCTGATTTCTTTTCGTCACCAGATGCCTGTGTCACGATATCATGAATAACTGCTGGTGATATTGAACACAGATCTTCGGCTGACAAAGTACTCAGCATCTCACTGGCAGCTTTTATGAGAAGATGCCGACATTCACACGAATGGGTCGTTGCTATTTTCAGGACCTTGGTCAGCCAATCTGGTGTGATATATGGTAGTGTGTAAGAGCCCTCTGGTAGTGCCAATAAAACAGAGTCCAAGATCTTTGCAATCTCAGTTTCTTTATCTTGAACTGATTCAGTTGAATTTGATTGAACAGCATTATTTTCAACCCGTGTTTCATTATTTGATTGTTTGGTATCGTCTTCCATGGCTTTTGATACATACTGAATCGCCAAGGTAACAAGTTCTGACATCCTGACACCTTCGTCTTGAGCTCTGACTAAGATCTTGACGAACCATTCCACAGGCAATGAGCAAAGACCATTTGTAGTTTTTTCTTCGAGTTGATCTTTAGAAGCCAGAGAACTGAATTTGGTTGGTGGTTTCAACCAGCAATCGATGAGAGCATCAACACATAAAGTAACTATCCCTGCTTCTTCAGCAAGATCACCAGTTTTCCCACAATTGATCAATAATGTTACTATGGATTGAATGGATCTGCTCATTTTGGCTGATGTAATTGTGTCTTGAAGGAATTTGTCTGCGATATCTGCCAAGTTTCCATGGCCGTCCATTTCCAGTTGGGACGCTGCACATCTTATCTGGACTATGTTGGATTTTGTGAGGGGTAGAACCATATTGTAGCAAAAATCAGCTACCAAAGAAAATATTTCAGCACCACCGGGGAAATTTTCAAGAGTCACCGACTTTTCTTTGGAATTAGCTTGCCGACTAAGATTTCGGAAGTAATCTGACTTTGCATAGAGTGGAAATTTATGGAGTTTAAACTCAACATCATCAACTGTGATGGTGATATCCGACAGTTCTCCTGATTCACGAAACTTTGAAAAATCCATCCTTGGAAGTGAAAGTACTGACTATGCTATGTTTGGTAGTTGTTTCGTATGGACTTTGATCTACAAAATGGAAAAAAAAAAACATAAGATTCTAATGCTTAACCCTAGTAGAATTTTCGTGAATTCAGAAAAGAATCAGCATGTTACACATATGGTGCCATGGAAACCAGTGTTGATCTGAGGCGGTACAAACATAGGCTACCACTCTGGGAAACGCCCAGGCATATGGCACCTGTATTTGCTTTGAACGAGAATATTCCTCATAGTTTCAGCTTATGAATGCCAAAATCATAACGTAGATATACTTTACGAGTAAGTTTTGATGCTTACCTTGATCTATAAGTTAAATCTCTGGTTTAATTGAAGTCCTATCGGAATTTTCACTTCTCAGTCCTTTTATGAACAATACAAACACTCACAATGTATGATTAGGTCATTTAACTTGTTGACGACTTTATAATAAGTTTATATTATCTTCTGCCAATACACGTTTATAACTATAGATATTGTTTGTTAAGAATAGATTAAAGGCATTATCATTTCTTCATTGTAGTATATTCTCGCTTATCAAGTACATATAATAATAGATATGTTTTCTTAATAGAGTGTATCTGGAAATACAGGACTAAGATAATTAGCCAATGAAACTAATGTGTTTGAACATGTTTCCCGCGGTCAGAAGTCAATATTAAGAGATCGATATATTATAGTTTGTCACTCAGTTTTATTAATGGCAAGAGAGAAAAACTGCTATAATCTATCGTTTACGTAATATGTTAGACTTCTTATTTCTAAGAAAGCCACCTTAATAACCAATTGGCTGCCTCTGATTTTATAAAGTAGACCACACTTTAACATCATATCATCTCAGTAACTAGTTCTAGCATTACATTATATCATCTTGTTCTATCATCTCAGTAACTAGTTCTAGTGTTACATTATATCGTCTTGTTCTATCGTCTCACTAACTAGTTCTAGTATTACATCAGATCATCTTGTTCTATCATCTCAGTGACTAGTTCTAGTGTTACATCATATCATCTTGTTCTATCATCTCAGTCACTAGTTCTAGTATTACATCAGATCATCTTGTTCTATCATCTCAGTGACTAGTTCTAGTATTACATCATATCATCTTTTTCTATCGTCTCATTCACTAGTTCTAGTATTACATCAGATCATCTTGTTCTATCATCTCAGTACCTAGTTCTAGCATAACATCATCTTGTTCTATCATCTCAGTAACTAGTGCTAGTATAACATCACATCATCTTGTTCTATCATCTCAGTAACTAGTTCTAGTGTTACATCATATCATCTTGTTCTATCATCTCAGTAACTAGTGCTAGTATTACATCACATCATCTTGTTCTATCATCTCAGTAACTAGTTCTAGTGTTACATCATATCATCTTGTTCTATCATCTCAGTAACTAGTGCTAGCATTACATCATATCATCTTGTTCTATCGTCTCAGTAACTAGTTCTAGTGTTACATCATACCATCTTGTTCTATCATCTCAGTCACTAGTTCTAGTATTACATCATATCATCTTGTTCTATCATCTCAGTAACTAGTTCTAGTGTTAAATCATATCATCTTATACAATTTTTCAACTGCTTGCTGTTCATAAATCAACTTTGTGGAATATTTCGAACTATGCGAGGAATAGTTACTTGTTGTCTGAAGCCATTACCGGCGACTTTAGGGCAAAGATCAATTTATCACACGTGACATCAAAAATCAAAACAAACCAATGTCATTATCTCGTTGAGTTTTGCAAGTCTATTTAGTCAAATTTGTCAATGAAAAGCGAAATGTCATGCTTTCGGATATGTTTGATGGTGTTCAGTGTTATGATTTGTGCTGCTGATGCAGGTATTTACACGTTTGATGATTCTGGAGGATTTGGAAGACAGTTTGATGGTATTGGTGGTTTGAGTGGTGGTGGGGTAAGATCAGTAAATGTTAACCTACTTAGTACTGGTTGTAGCAGTCATTTATAGCCATCCATATCACTTTTGGGAATCCAAATCTTGCGTCTGGTTCTTCTGCAAATCAACAAAAAACATTTGTCTGAAAGTTTAGACTGTCAACAGTTTTATGCCTATGGTCAATAATGTCATATCTATAATATCTATAGATAGAATGTTATAATATCTTTGAAGAACTTTCCTTTGTAAGATTTTGCTGAATTTCAGACAATCATACAAGAAAAACGTAGCAATCATTGTTTTATATTTACACCTGATCTCTAATTTCATCCATTTGAAACTTCAAAGTTAGAAGTTAAACAATGTTTTTGAAGAAACAATTAACATTAATGTCTATATATAATCATTTATCATATATTAACAACCAATATCAAGTAATTTCTCTTATTACAGGCTACATCCAAATTATTAGTCAATTATCCAGAAGAACAAAGAAACCAAATTTTAGATTATCTATTTAAGGTACTGTACACTATTATATATATTATGATAATATGAGCACATGTTTTGGATAACAAACCATCATCAGTACATCTGGTCTAAAAAAGGAGTTTAATGCTCAAGCGATAATGCAATTCCCAACACACTGTGTTGGATAGTAAAATAACCTACCAAGCCGGTCAGTTATCTTGCTATCTTAATATCTCTTTGTATCCTTGAAATTAAAACTTTGAAAAGATAAAGTTATAGAGTCTTTGATATCTTCAGATGAAATAAAATGGGGTTTTAGGTTATTCCAAATTTCCATTAGGGCTAAGATGGACAATGCCATGCAGTGTACAATAAAAGAAATTTTATCAGTACATTAGCACTTAACTTTTCTTTTTGAAATATTATTGCTAACCAAATAAATATTTATTTAATTTTCAGCCAAATTTTGGAGCTTCATTACATATTTTAAAAGTTGAAATAGGAGGGGATGTTGAGAGCTCAGGTAAAAATAATTTTGTATTGTTTTAAATTTATTGTGGATTTCAGTAAAAGGTTAGGACTTGAATATTGTGAACATTTTGACAGATAATGGCCAGCCATTGACAGAAAAAATTGTCATATTTCCTTACACAAATACACAAAATTTCCATCTTTCAAAAGAGGTACAAATTTAGTTAACAAGTGGCAATACAATTTTTCAGGCTTAGATTCTGAACAACGATATACAATATTTTTTCTCCAAATAGCCATAATAAAAAGATTCAGGTTAACCGTTTTTATTCTTTATTCAGATGGAACAGAAGCCTCTCACATGCACAATAGTTGGGAAGAAAATTATGAAAGAGGTTATGAATGGTGGTTGATGGTTGAAGCTAAAAAGGTATGATTTGATTTTCTTATTGCAAAAAATTCGTCCATTTAGAACTGCGTGCGCAGCCAAAAGTACAAAAGTCACAGAGTCACGTGATACTAGCAAAACGAAAGTTACTATAAAGGTAATTCAATAATGTTAGAGAAAATGTAGGTGTGGAAAATCCCCATTTAGCAGGGTCTTTTTCTTCTGACTCCACTCCAACTGACAACTGTCAAAATATCCATCAGAGACTGGAATAGTGGCAGATATTTCGGACTATACATTGGATGCCTATTTGTTGAGGCTAAAGGTATAATTTAGACCTACTTCAGACCTTTCAATATGAAAAATTAAGGATTTGGACTTCAGACATATAAGCATATAAATATTTTGTTATAATTTACTGTTTTTTATCATATTTATCAGAGAAATCCGAACATTAAACTGTATGGGTTACCATGGGGATTTCCAGGATGGATTGGTGCAGGTACCAGAAGTCCTTATACTAATCCTACACAAACAGCAACTTATATTATAAAATGGATACAAGGAGCTCAAAAATATTATAATCTTACTATGGATTATATTGGGGTAAACAGTTTTTAATTATGTTAAATTGATGAGTCGTCATTTTAATATTCAAACACAGATAATTCTGGACAAACATGGATTTGAAGGCTCAAATTTTGATGATGAGCTGTGAACTTTACTACTGATTAGATTAGCAAAAAAATTCCACTTTCTGAGACTAAAGCATGATTGTTCAAAAAATGGTCTAACAGTCCCTTTAAGTTGTATTCAAAACAGCTTGACGAAAAAAAAAAAATCCTCAAAATCTATATTTCTTTTTTTTTTATTTCAGATTTGGAATGAGAAATATTATGATGGCACCTATATACTGGTATGTTGATCATTGATATTTTATTAGATAAATAACTTTTTATAGAAGCTAATACTAAATCACAAATTTATTTTAAACTGTGCTGCTATCACAACTTTTATTTTTTAGTTTTAGTTTACATCACACAAGTATTACTACTAATAGCACCACTTATTCTGTCCTAATATATTTTATTTTCAAGGGGGTTTTAAAATGGCTCTCAAGCATGTGTTTTAAGACATCTTTGTTACCTTTAAATTTCCAGAAAATTTGACCAAATAATAACCAAACACTATCCATCCTAAATGGTCAAATTTTTTTGAATTACAGGAATCAAAAATGTCAGAAATGCTGCAAATAGAAGCTTCTCATATCCACGATGCACATAGATTCAAATCAGGGCTGTTGTGAGGGATATTAAATGCCAGATATTTTATCATGGAAATTGATACTTCATTGCTAGGGAGAATCAAAAGTTGATTGTATCATCAGCATAGGAACCGTTCTGTGGGGTTGAAATTCTTACTTTTGAAAATGGACTTTGAACCCTGAGTGTAAATGAAATATAACATCATATACCCTGAACTCCAAGTAATAAAAGTAAAAGTGTATGACATTAACGTTGTATGACATCACTTAGTAACGGCCGGTATACCGTCTGCTCGGGTATATATTGCATTACTGTGTGGTTGGTGTATGTCTTCTCCTAAGTGTTTGTTATAATTTCAAGATCTATCTGGTTTGCAACAACAGCTCTGAATAAGAATCTCTTCACTGACTGTTTCAGACTTTACGTAGAATGTTAAATGAATCTGGTTTAAATTATGTTAGTATAGTAGC